GGAGGGCGGCAAGCCCTGGCTTGTAGTGCTCTAATAATTAATTGAAACATAGGCAACGTTCCGTGCAACACCAGTGAGGCAAACCCCTCTGGTTTGTGGGCCACGCACGGTGAGGTTGTGGGCGTCGTGGTTACGGTTGTAACTAACAAGGGAGCCTTTTCAGGTGTAAATCTCTGATTTCGTTAAAACTCGGACAATTTAAAGGTTATTGTACTAGAAGTCGGATGGCACTTGAAATTTTTCCTGAACCTTACAGTTACTAGGGGTTTACTTAAGCCTTACACTGTTTTTTGTCTCAAACATCCCTCTACCGCCTTAACAGTACAAAATAGAGCAAAACGGACAAAATTTGCCATCCGATTTCTACATAAATAACCTTCAAATTTTCCAAGTTTCAAGGAAATCGGAGATTTACACCTGAAAAGGTTCCCTTGTAAGTCTGGCCCCTGCAGCCTGTCAACGGCCGGTGCGCGATGGGTTGCCGCCTCGCGGGCGCGGAAGTCCCTCCTGCTCGCGAGAGGCTCGGCACCTTCTCGGTGGCATGTCGGAGGCCCTGGGTGGGTGGATGGGTGTCGTGCTCGCAAACCATACGACGTGTAAAACTATTTATTCTTTATTCACGGGGATAGTATTTACAGGTGAAGCGCGCGGTCCGCGAGGAACCGCGCGCGAGTTTGGAAGACGCGCGGTGGAGCCGTTCAGTCCGTCTGTCTCTCTCCCGGGGAACCGGCCGGCGCCGGCGGCCGCCGCGGGTCATCTGCCGGCGTCGGCGTCCTCGTCCGGACGGCGGCTCGCGCGGCAGCACAACGACTCGAGCGCCCAGGACACGGCGGTGACCAGGGCGAGGGCCGTGAGCGAGTGGATGAAGATGGAGTAGCTGCCCGAGTAGTCGCGGACCACGCCGAGCGCCGAGCCGAAGCCCAGCACGCACGCGCCCTTCACCACCATGGCCAGCCCGATGGCGGACGGCAGCTTGGCGGCCGGGACGTGCTCGGCGATGACGAGGTTCTGATTGAGCACGGTCGCGCCCCGGAACATGCCCGTGACGGCGGCCATGACGATGAGCTCGGTGAAGCCCCGGAGCTCCGCCATCACTGCGGGGGGCAAAAGAAGGACCAGGTGCTTTCAGTCCACAGGTGTGCAGCTTTCCATCAGCCTCTGCAGGTACCCAAAGGACAGAAATTTGACACAAAGACAGCCATTGACATCAGAAAACCATCATTTGACGTCCTCGCGATGTCATCTCTGACAGTCAAGATGACTAAATCCTGACTTACTGACAATTGATGTCATCGTGACAAATTTCTGTGCTTTGAGCGTGCCTAGGAGTTTTAACTTACAGAAAAGTACTGTTTTTCAGAAATAATTTTTTTAAGAATTTTTTGTTTGTATGTCTTAATTTTTTTTCTTAAAATGTCTATGTATTCAAAATTTTCTGGAAATATATCAACTTTTCCCATTTTTTTTCCTGGAAAACGTTATTTCCCATACCTGAGCGGCTGGCCGCGCTGCCCACCGCGCCGACGATCATGACGGTCCTGGCGGGGAGCCCGTGGCCGCCGCACTTGGCTCCGCCCATCACCTGCGGCAGCAGCAGGCGCGACACCAGGTCCGCGCCGGACTGCACCGACATGAGGGTGGCCGTGACGGCACGGCTCATGCCGACCGTCTCCATCAGGAAGAAGGGGAAGATCATGGAGAAGGACGTCATGGTCGTGTAGATCTGCGGGGCGTGGACCGGATGTATGAGCGTCGGGTGGCACGTACACGTCACCGTCGTCATCCGCCTCCTAACCA